AAGAAAATATCAATATTGAAATTAAATAGCATAATCGAACAACATATATATCAAAACGTAAATGATACAATTTAGTAAATGAATAAATGTAATCATTTAGAACATAACAATTAAATTTAAGTTGAGAAGGGAATGAACACAGACCTTAAAATTTAAGCAAGCTTTTTACTCCTTATTTCCCTCCTAACCTCCTATCTCCCTCCTTTCTCCTAGCTTTTCCTCCCTTGGCATCATAACTCTCGGCCCTCTATGTTGTTTATTTTTTTATTACACTCCTAGTAATATGTATAATTCAAAAGCATGTGTCCCCATATATCTATGATGCATGGCAACATGGCTTGTGTTTTTTTATTCCATTTGTCACATTTGGTGTGCCAAGTGTCCTTAGTATTAGTTGAGTTTGCATGATGATGGACGAGTGGCATACTTAGTTATTTAAATTTAATTGTTTAGCTATTTTAGTTCTTTTATGAGTTTTCCCAAGGAATTTACATGTGGCAAGCTAAGTCAACTTCCACAAATTTTGTGCATTACGAATTGAAAGTTAGCTTATATTACTACTATTATTTTTTTTTCTTTTATTATAAAGTTTTATCTATTTACTTTTTATCATGAAATTTTCATTTGTGAGAAATTGAGGTTGTCACACTTATCATATTACATATGTAAAATTTAAAAAAATCAAGCTAAAAATAGATTTAAGAAAAAAATCAATTTTATATGCAGTGTGGATATCATTGAAAAGATCATAAAAATTTATTACTTGTGAAACCATCAATGATTAATCATAGGTTCATTAATCGTTTCTAGTAGTAATTAATGTCAAGATGTTAACTAATTGTCATTTAGCAACAATCCCCAACATTAATATAGAGATAGAATAAGGGAAGAATTAATATTCAAGTAAGAAGTAAGAAAATAACTCACAACTTTAACATTCAACAAGCTTCAAGATCAAAATCAAGAAATGGAAGTTTATCTTCTCATTTGGAGACTAAACATGCTAGAAAAATATAAAGAAAACAATATTCTAAGCTGAGCTTAAGTATATGGAAGAAGGGATGTCCAAATGGAAACGAAAAGGGGTGTATTTATAAGTTTTTGGAGGTGGCAGGGTCTGGTACTCGACCGGGTATATAGGGTACCCGATTGGGTACCTTAGGCAATCGAAAGGTGCTAAAATCACACCAACCCGACTGGGTTGGGTACCGACCCGACCGAGTTGATTACAAAATCAGATTTTCCATGTTCTTTTGATCTTCGACACGTCTTTTTATTTGATGTCAACTCAAACCCGACTGGGTTGAGTATAAACCCGACCGAGTTACATATCGAATAGGATCAAATCTGATATTTCTCATGTTCTATTGATCTTCGCCATGTTTCATTGTCCACGTCAACTCAACCTGATCGGGTTGTGTACTAATCCGACCGGGTTTGGGTACATAGCTTCCTGGTTGCTTCATACTCAATTCCATCCCGACTGGATTATGTCCCAATCCGACTAGGTTATGTACCAACACTTAAATTTATGCTTCTTCTTGCCTTCCTTTGGTACCTATAATACTCTCTTACATATCTTTTGGTACTTACAACAAAATACACATTAAAAATACAAATCACAACCTGTAAAATAAATCTAAAGAGTACATCACATACTAAACTAAACAATTAAAAACAACAATAAAATAACAAACTTATTGATGGTCCCAAGCGAGGTTAAAGTCTGGGGGATAGACTTTTAAATTTTTTACATTTTCAACCCTTTTTCCTCTAACAAAGTGAGTTCCAATATCTTTTGAGAGATTGAAAGTTTGAAACATTCAGCGGAAGTCTTGACCTCAAGAGTGTGACACTTAATAGTAACAAAGGTTATGATCCTTTTAGTTGGATGATAGGTGGTTTAAACAAGGTGTAAAAGTGTTAGTCAAAACCAGATTTCTCAAGGAGCATGCTACTAAACTTTTTAGATTCAGGCTGCCGAACTGCAAGGAACATGCTGCCAAACTTTTAGGAGCTGACTGTTGAATTGAGATTACTGTTCTAATGCTAAGAACATAGTAAGACACTATGCTCTTGAAACATTGTTGGACTATAAACACCGACTAAACACATAAGTATGAAGGATTTAGACCTATTAAAATATATCTCTATGATGAATAAGGAACAAGGAACATAGAGTTTGATCCACAGTAAACTGTGCAGTTTACTGGTCAGTTTTGAGTGAGTTGTTTGTCTTTGAAAAGTTGTGAATGTGAGTGAGAACTGTAGTGTGTAGTGGGAACTGAATATATAAGGTGACATAAGATATATCCTGGTTCAGAGGTGGTGTAATCCTCTTACATCCAGTCTCAACCTATTTCAAATGGATTTCCACTAAATGAATATACTCATTACATTTAGTGCCCAATCTACCCTTGGTCGCAGACACAGATTGTGACTCTTTTCACAATGAATTTGAACACCATTCTGAGCTACTCAGTCCTCCAAGGGTTTTCACTAATGGCATTGACTTGCCAGAAGTTACTCATGTCCTTGCCCTTACACACCTTCTGGATTTGATCACAAAGCCCTCCAGAATGTCTAACACTAGTCTAGTTTACATGAGTAAAGCTAAAGTACTAACTAACTAAGATCTAAAGATGTGTATGAATTTGAGTTAATCAAAGAGCTTAGGTGAGTGGGGTGAGAACTAAGATGATGAAGGAAGATCAACACTTGTGTTGCTGGATATGTCGAATGATTCCATCTTCCTTCTTATTTCCACACTTAGCTCCACATTAGTTCTTCACGCACTCCTTCTGTATTTAAAGACTTTGTTGTTGAAGCTCCACCGTTGGATGAAGAATTTTAATCTTGACTGTTGCTTTTGATCCACTTGCTTCGTTCTACTTGGCTGAAGGCAACATGTTTGATTTTTGTCATCTTGTGACACATGCCATTTTTCACTCAATTTGTTTTTCTCATCTCAATGCAAAGATAAAGATTGAATATCTATTAATCTTTTGTTCAAAGAGTAAGTTGGATGTTGTTCAATGCTTCCTTACAATAAAATTACCTGCTTTTAGTAAAATAAGTTTATAAAAAAAAATTCATAAGGTGGTAAAAAATTCTTATAAGACTACTTTCTATCTTTTTGTCACTTTGACCGACAAGTTGGTCTTTTGTCTTATTGTTTTTATGCTTTAGAGAAGAGTAGTAGATTTCGGTGGCCTTGTCTGGAAAATCAAAGGGGTTTTCAGATGGCTGCCGAATTATCAAAGGGTTTCAGTTGACTCTTTTCGTACCTTTTTTGTTTTGATTATTTTCTTTTTATTTTTGGTACGTTTCTTCTCTTTTTAGTGCTCCTTTTGCTTTTTATGAGTACTTTCTTTTTCACTTAAAAAGTAGCACATTACAATAAACATAAGTAGAGCAAAGTAGGATCTAGTCTAATATAGGAAATTGAAAGGGGGTTAACATCATCAAAACTCTAAACATTAATCATCAAAATCTAGGGGACCTAACACTTATGCACTAGGGTATAGTGCATATCAAACTCCCCAATGCTAGCCTTTTACTCGTCCCGAGTAAAATCAGTTAAAGTCCAATAAGCATGATTTTCAACCATCCATTCACTAATGCCATCTTTTACAATAAACTCATGTCCTTCATACGTCTTCCCCCATGCTTGATTTGAGTTTCGTTCATCCAACGTCTTAAAGTTCATGCTATGATAAAAACTCTTGCAAAATTTTCTCTCGTTCTCTCATTTTTCTTAGGAGTTTTTTTCATTTCTTTTATCCTAGCCTCTCATTTTTTTATTTTTCTCATTGACTCACATTATTTTTTTACAATATAGAAGAAGTAGCGTATGTGTAATGAAGAGTCTTCTCAGTCTTCTCCCCCCTTGCTAAATCAAGAATTGTCTCTAGTGCTCGTTCTCGTTATCGTTTGTTTGTTTGTTTTTTTTTAAGATACAAAGTTGTCATTTGGAAGAGGGGTGATTGTTTCCAAGATTTTATGGATTAGAGGAAAGTGATGAGAACTAGATTATGAAGTTCTTTTTTTTTTTGTATCGAGGATTTGGGTAGATTTTGAAGAAAAAAGGATATGGTTATAAGGTTTGAGGTTATTGGGGTGGAGTAGGATGATGGTTTTGAAGATTAAAGATGAAAAGAGGTGAAAAAAAGAGTGCATTTGGAGCTTTTTGTTTACAAAATGTTGGCAAACCCGACATGGTTTGAAGCCAACCCGACAGGGTTTGAATACAACCCGACTGGGTTTGAAGCCAACCCGACCGGGTTGAGTGATTTTTTTGCATGAGCCACCCAACCGTGTTGAGAAACTCCCAGGTGGATTTTGTTTATCTACTCGATCAGGTAATGGTGGCACTCGATCGGATTTTCCTTCCAATGAGCTCAAAATTTTCATTGGTGCACATACCCGATTGGGTAAATGGGTTACCCTAGGGATGGACTCGGGCCGGGCGGCCCGGCCCGGAATTGGCCCGACCCGGTTACTGTTTGAATCGGCCCGACCCGGGAACCGGTCCAGGGGCGGTTCGGGTCGGCCCGGACCGGTAGGAATGCGGTTCGGGCCCTAGGATTGGCGAACCGGCCCGGCCAGTTCATGCCAAATTAATTTTTTTTTTTGAATTTTTTTTAAGTTTTTGGGTTGGGCTGGGTATTTTGGGCCATTTGAGGTGGTTTGGGGGTAAGGGTGAGGGTTGGGGTTAATTAGGAAAAGCCAAAAAAAATAGAACCGAGGCCCGGCCCGGCCCGGAAAGCACTTTTGGAGAAGTAAAGAAAAAGTGATTGGTAGTAAAAGTTGATAGTGTTTGAGAAAAAAGTGACAGGAAAATGAAATAATTGACAAAAAGCACTTTCTAATCAATCAAGCAACTGATTGATCACACTTTCTAATGACGATTTGACAAAGGAATCAATCAAGCCAAAAGCTGAAAAACACTTTTTTTAAATCAAATGCAAACACTCCCTTATAATTGACAAAAAAGTGGAGCAAGTAATAATAAATAATAATTTTCCATTAAAAGTAAATAGTGTAGTAAAGAAGACAGGGAAATGATAATAAAACAGCACAGCTTTGGTGGTTCACGTTTACAAAGTGATGCAAAACAGAACCTCTAATCCCACGGAGCAGTTGTCATAGCCTATTAGCCTTAGGCAAAGATCTGCAACTGAGAAGCCACTCGGCCCTTATAATGTAACCTGAGATGTGAACTCGAGAGGGGTTAAGTTCGAATGCATAACAATTAACAAACAGGTCACTAAGGGTTTGTTAGGTTCAAGGATTTCAGATGGGGGGAGGGGAGGGCAATACTACCTTTAATATGATTTCCAAATTTAGGTTGGAAATAAATAAATGATCTAACCAATCATATACTCCCTATCAAAACTAATCATATAGTGATATAGTTACTTCTAGTCTAAAAGTCTAAAACTAACAAATTATACATGATTAGTGAAAAAATCACTCATCTCCTCCCCTTTCATCCCAAATACCCGAACCAAACAAGTCTGAAATGCATATATACGGTGTTTTAAATCTCATACCAGTGATAGTTCCTTGAAATTCTGATGCATATACTGATATATAACCTCCTTAAATTCCTAATATTTTATACTGATGCATAAAATAATGCATTATTAGCAGCCTGGCTAGAATTCTTGACGAATGCTCTGTAAAATTTTCAGTTCTTCCATCTCTTCCCCACAAGCAACTGCAGGATCAATAAAGCACAACTGACAAAGAAATATGTTGAAGTTTTTAGATTCTCCTATTCAGACTCTTCAAGAAATCCCCGGACATGCAAACTATGTTTCGTACCTGATACAATGGCTTCTTCAGTGTGTGGACACCTCTTTTTATTAGCCTTTGCCATCCATCATTGTCAAGAGATTTTTCAAGAGCTTTGGTTCTCTGGCAGTTATGATCACATATATTTTGGTTCAGTTAAAGGTAATTATCCGATGATATGACTGAAATGATTTCTATAGACTATAATAATGCATATATAGAGAGAGAAATAATGGACCTAAACCACAAATAGGAAACATAAGCCTTAAACTATATTACGTAGTACTTCTTATATACTTCAACCGTGATGTCTACAATTCAAAAGACAAGGCAACTAGATGTTTTGGGATAGTCCAATAACTCTTGACTGTGAAGAATATAACCTAATCCTGCATGTTTCGATTTTAAACGCAGTCATAATTGTAAGTAAACTAATTTACTTAGCAAATACCATATGGTAGTCACTGAAAAACTTGCACTTCGGCAAGGTATTAACATACTTACATGGCCAGGGTCTAAGATCAAAAGATTGTATTGCTTTGAGCCATTCCTCTGGCATTTCTTTTGAATCCCAACAATTGTTCTTGAGTGACCATGATGTTGGAAGTACAGCGGCCTGTAGAATAAGATCTCGTTTGGTGAGCTCGAATGGGTTGATTCCGCTAATAATAATTTGCAGCCAAAAGATCAGCCATGCCCTTACTTTTTTTGGCTGATATGGCATATTATTTCAGTTTAATTCAGCAATTTCAACAACCAAGAAACCGGCTCTATATTGAGTGACACTACAAATATATAAAACTAAAAACACAAGCATACGCTTCCGAGTAGTCATTGAAGTTTTCCATGAGATCATGGCAGTATTTTGAAATTCACTTACGATTTTTGACTGACAATTACATGTCTGTTTTCAGATGTTGAACACTTAGGGTCAGAAAAGTAATTCCACACCCAATCAATGAGAGCTTCCTGACCCTTAACATTTGTGTCGTGGGTAAAGGATACCTCCTGGTGAACATTTTTTTTCCACATGGAGACATATTTGTCCATAGGTCCACAAACCTTTGGTCCAATTGTCTTACTACAGAAGTCAACTATTCGTGCTCGAAGACCAAAAGACCTGAAGAGGGTGGCACATTCAGTAGTTCCAATCCAAATTCTTTTTCCATAGATTTTTTTATCGAAGTCTTTCGAACCAGTTTCATCAAAGCCTTGTTCCCATGCAATTTCAAGCCATCTTTGGAGTGAAGGGATATCAGGCACGAAACCCAAACCACCAAAGAGAGAGTTCCTTGCTTCTTGCCTTTGTTTGAGCAAATGAGAGCTAATCATCTGAATATTTCGCCATCCGCATCCCCATCCGACATCTTCTGATGTGATGCTCTCGAAATGATCCACATACCCGCACAACAGGCTGACCCAGTTTTCGGGTTCTAGTTCCAAACGGTTTCTCAACAAGTTCATCAAGCCTTCTTCTACAATGTAGAAAGATGCCTTGATCTGAAGATTTACTAAACACTTTATTTGCTCACCCACGTCTCTCTCCTCTGAATTTTGAGCATCCACCCGGACCACACGTGATCTTGAAGAACTGCACTCAGGGCTTCCCCAATCACCGCTGTTACATACACTTGCATGTCTAACCTGAATAATCAATCATATTCTATAGTTTGCTGTTTAGTTTAGATACTGCTGCCAAGTATAAAAAACTAAAAATAATAATTGAAATTGCCAAGTATTGAAAACTTAAAGTAATACACAGTATTTGAAATAAGATCAAGAAAAAGCAACTCCAGGTAATGCTGAGGCAAAACAATTTCATTTTCAAACTCTGATCATGTCAGTCATTATTTTCCCTCTAGCTCCAACATTGTTCAAAGTTTGGTAGCCTTAACATTAATTAAATAGTATACAATCAGCTTAAGCATTAAATGGTAATATTCACAGTGGTGGATCCAATAATTGGAAGTGGGGTTGGCTAAGAAGTAAAAAAACAGCAATATACTTCGTAATATATAGTGCACGTGATAAGTGTTACCCCACACTTTTTAATAAAAAATAAAAACATTTAGATTTATTTAGAGAGGAAGAATCATATCAATCACTTTATCTAATAAATTTGCTTTCTTACAAGAAAATGCAAATTCTATTGACAATCCAATAAGTGAAAACAAACATTTTGAGACGGATGGTGAGTATAGACACATACAAAGACAAACATACTTCCTTCCTCCCAAAATTGACTTTTCACTTTCTTTAGTTTGAAATGGCTCAAACACAAGTCCACATTTCCTTTTTGGTAATATTTATGTAGTAAATGACATTCTTACGGTCTTACCTTCATAAGTAATGCAGCATTTTTGGGTTTGTTGAAAGTGCAAACACTTTACTAAATGGAATGATCTTAATTTTTAACTTTCAGAATTTATCCTTTTATCTATTGTTTCAGCTTTTTATTTTTTTCACACTACATTTTCTTACTTGAGGTTGCAATTGTAAAACAAGAATTATATATTTTATTTCTTAAAATCTGATTCAAATCTAATTGACAAATGTCTTCATCGTTTACTCACCCAGAGATCCGCCACAATCCCAGAAAGGGTCGAAAGAGAATACGTAACACGTTTACTCGGGGAGTACCTGGGGAAGGGAAGGAGCGAGAGCAATGTCTTGTCCCAACTCGATGCCATTAAAGCTGTCTTCATCGTCGAAGTGACTGTTCGCGTGTCTGAAAAATCAGTTGTAAATAACTTCTCTTTTGAAAACTAAAAAGAATCGCGCATTAGGTCAAAAGCTACATGATCAAACGCGCGAGCACATGAATAATACAGCTGATCGAATCGGACAATGATAAAAGCGAGGAAATGGAAGTGAAGTATACCGTTGTAGTTCGACCGAAAGCACTCTCAGATGGCAGAAGGGACAAATCGTGATGTCCATGGGCCTAGGAAAACTATGCAGTCAGAAATACGGAGCTTTGAAAAACTGGTAGTGAAAATGCAGGTGGAATTGAATTACTCGTATTTAGTACTCCGTACATTCAAAGAACCGGTTAAGTATACTCGTATGTTACGGAGTATATACGAAGTATTTGAGTATTTCTTATATCCTCTTACTCCCTCCGTCCCATTTAAATTGTCCTGTTTTACCTTTTCGGGAAGTCCCACTTAAATAGTCTCATACCATATTTGGCAAAGTGTGTGTGGCTCTAAATCATTCTTACTTTATTCTTAGTTTATCAATTAATATCAACCACACAAACTCACTTTTCTTAATAATCGTGGCATCCTCTTCCGGGACAATATAAATGGGACGAAGGTAGTATATAATAAGTCCGTCCCATTTCTAACGCCAAATTCTACCCATCAATTCTGTTACCCGCTGAAGCGGTGTAAGCAAGCAGTTCCTTCACATCCGATCACCAAAAACGATCTCCAGCCTCAACCGTATTACTTCAACCGACTCATTCTCATCCTGCTTCACATCCACTCTCCTCGCTTATCCGCTACTGCTATAATTATCTTCGGCATTCCTGTTGCTCTACGAACAATGTACATCCTTACATTAGTATTACTTTTGTCATACTGGTTGTTACTGGCTGCAATCGTTCATAAATTCATTGATCATCTAATTCAATTTCCTACCACGCACTTCATTCATCAAAATTACTCCTCACCGTTTTTATGCTCGCGAAGTGTTTGTCAAAAATCCACATTAAATGTGCAAACACCTTAACTAAGTTAAAGCACACTACCAAAACCGCATTACAGATGGAACAAAACCCTTTAGGTCATAATCTTTGGTCGTGCTTTAGTAGAGAATAGAGATCGTTTACACACTTTCAAAACCGCTGGCAACAACAAGGAAGAAAGGGATGGAATTTGTGCGAACATATTTGAGTCTACAAACTTGATAATTCACTTTTAATTTAATAGAAAAAAGTTTTACAAATGAATTCGTTAGAGAGCTTTATAAGTTTCAGACTTTAAAATGCAAAGAAAATGGATTGATTGAATAAAGACTTAAAATGCAATTGTGAACAAACAAATTCTTTGTTTATCTTGAAAACATATATTCAATTTTTTAAAATAGTCTTATATTCAACTCCTAGGTGAAAATATATTTTTATATTTATCACTTTTGAAATTTTCTAAACATGTTAATCAATTTTTCTGTATACTTATAAATTAAAAAAGTTGAATTAATTGTTTTTGAAAATAAGCATTCTTGTAAGATACTGAAGACTTTTTAGAATGAGGTTGAACATACAACAATTAATTAATTGAATTTGTTTCCTCTCATCAAAATATAAGAAAGTCAATTTTCCAAAAACAAAACAAAGCTACAGACATGCTTCGGGTAAGCAGCCGCCAAGTATACACAAGCCTGCAGTTTGTTTGATCATCCCCTAAATAAATTCCTGGAAGATCATCCTGGTCTAAGCTATACATGACCACATAGCCCCTGGTTTCGGGGCTGGTGAAAGTGTTTCGTCGGATTTTAGAAACCCTTTTCCAGACACCAAATCATAGAAGAATTGGCCATCAAAAGCCTTGGGCCATTAGGTGTTGGATGTAGTGGCAGAGTATGCTGAGGAGGTGGCTAAAAGAGATTGCATTTGCTCTTAGGCTTGGCATGATTTTGAGGTAGCTTTAATTAAACGCTTATTACCACGAATTGTCTTGTGTTATTTTGTAAGGTTTACATTTAATTTCAAGATACTTTTCATATGCATTTTTTTTTTACTTTTTGAGGTGAATAAAAAAGGAATCTTATGAATCATATTTGACAACGACGGGTAAATTTTAAAAGAAATGGGGGTCTAAAAAGCAAGGATTTGAGGCAATTTGTTCTGAGAATATCTTTGAGGGTAGTGGAGTAATAGTGGATTCATTTGACGTGACATTAGAATATGAACTATTTTCTTATTTTTAACATATAAAAGTTATAGATTAATAAACACAATGATAAGTCCGTATTTTGACACGTATTTGATGCGTGTTGAGATCGGCTTTTGATGATTTTCCTAATTTTAAAGTGTTACAAGTCTTAATTTTAGCTCAAGTTATGTTTACCGGGCGTTGGTTCGAGTTTTGTGTTGTTTGTAGTCAAAATCAGGGAATTTGAGCCCGGCACCGGCACTTGAGGAACAATCGGGATGATTTGAGAAGCATTTGAGAATGATTTGATAGCTTTGGAGGTCACCGGAAGATTCACGATGAAGATTTGAAGGAAAAAGAGCTCTAGGATTGGCTTCGGGGTCAAAAGAAGATGAATGAAGCTTGAAAACGACGATCAGGATGACCTTCTGTCAATCGTTCAAGCATATCTCTTTGTAGAAACATTCAATGTACACGATTCAAGTTCCATAGGAAATCCAACTTCAAGGGCTACAAATGCTATGAAGACACCTTTGCGAGAATCTGAGAGGAAGAAGGTGAAAACAGACGATGAAGTCAGATGATCTCTGTTGCGATTTCAGAAAGACACCTTCCACCGTTTTGATCATATCTCTTGATTGGATGATTCAAATCACATTTGGCAAATTGGGGTGGATAGATGACTTTCATGACTTCATTATCTACAACTTTCATGAAGGAAGTTTTGTCAAATTCGGAAGTTAAGTAGGCACGATCGTGCCCTCAAAGTCAGACACATTCGTGCCTGAAGAGAAAAGCACCGCGGAGTTACTGCCAGTCAGGCACGATCGTGCCTGCCCAAAATGCGCGTTTTTGCTCCGGAGGCACGATCGTGCCTGGCATCGTGTCTGGCTCCGAAAATCCTAATTCAGCTCAAATTTCACCCGATTTTTCTATTTAAACAGCCTGTAAACCCCCGTTTTCAAGGGGGAGCTTAGAGAGAGTGCCTAACACGAATTTTAGAGGGCTTTTCAGCCTTGTTCATCAATCTTTTGGGATTCTTTGTAAGTTCCACCTTTTTAATTAATGACAGTTAATTCTTTTTATTCCAATTCTATTGATTCTTCAATTATGAATTGTGAGTAGTTTTAATTAGGGATTTGGGATTGATGAAGGGGTTAATCATGATGTATGGCTAGATTCTTTTCGGTTTAATTGCATGAAAGCCGTTTAATTTGTGTTTGAATAATTTAATTGATATCTTTTGTAACCTAGAATCGCGACTAGAATTACAATTGCATGTAGAATAAATTAAGAGAGATCTAATTTGTTCTAAGACACATTCACACACAATTAATCGTTCGCTAAGAGATTAGTAGCGATTAAGGGGCCATAAGCTCGCTCGTCTTGACAATAATTTAGGATCATGTCGCATGAGAGATCAGCCTGGTCCCCTAAATTATTGTACTCTACGCCGCGAGAGCGGTAAGAACTTAGTAATGATTAGCTAGGCTCAATTAAATTAATTTCATGTAATTAGGCCTGATCTGCCAGAAATTTTGTTACCCCGGAATCGATCCCTGTTCCCTTCGTCATTAATTAGAAAGAACCCCCTAGTTTAATTGTTCGCATTAGTTTTATTTTCCAAACCAATCATATCTCGCACGACGCATTTTTTATTATTTATTTTTAATCGTTGAATTTAATTAATTATTGATTCCCTTTTGTCCGTCCCTGTGGAGACGATACTCGTACTTACACCACTATATTACGATCTACTTTAAGTGCGAGAAAACACACATCACACAATAAAAGCGAATGTTTTATATTTTCAAGAGAAGGGGAACATTAGACTTCAAACTATTAGTGATTCTAAAATCAGAACACTGAGGAAAAACATACATACATACTCCTCAACATATGAAAGTAAAGCAATACAACCTTTTTTAGTTGTTGGTGCTGACAACTTCTCAAAACAAAATTACAACCTTACTGGCACCGCTGGGCAAAAAGGGTTATTC